GCTAAATATCGATATAAATAGATAATACAACTATCGATATATATCTATTACACGATTACTATCGATATAAATAAAATTGATATATATCGATAATTAAATATTTATCGATATATACCTATTACCAGTATATATTGATTTTTGGTAATATATCGTTATATATCCTAAATTATTGATAAATGCCGTTTTTATCTTATCGATATATTTCAATTTTTTGCTATATATTGATATATATCTATATAAAAAATTTTCTGATGACAAGAACCAAAAGGTTCAATAGCCTATACTTTTGCTCTAGGTCAGAGGCTGTAGACTATTTTACCCAAAATTGGGCCGGAGTAAAAAACTATATATGCCTCCTTTTCAGCCAGATCTACAAATCTCTGTGCTATGCAAGAGAATTTCGGGCATAGATAGTGATTATAGTCCCAATTTGGGTTTCGGCTCCATGGTGGCCTTTGATAGTGAATTCTCCCAGAGAAGAGATTGACTTGCCATCAATGAATCTAGTTATTCAACCAGGGCCTTCAAGAAATCGGGAGCCTTGCAAAAACGCCCAATAGCATTTAAGAGCGGTGTTACTGAACTGGTTGGAGAGTTGCTTGAAAGAGCAGAATTTTTAATGAATAGTTCTATTAGTGAGGTATACAAAAAACATTTGTTTAAGGCAAGAAATGTTTTTGAGGACTTTGCTGGTTGGATGGGTTGTAGGCCGTATCTAGCCTCCAGAGAGTTGCTAGTAGATTTTTTTACCTGGTTGAAAGTAACAGGAAGACTATCCGAGTTATCAACTTGTCTGGCTGCAGTGGCGAGAGAATACAAGATGAGAGATTTTGAAGACCCAACAAAGGGTAGTTCGATTTGTTTTTTGGTTGAGAGTATTAAGAGAATGACTTCTTAAAGAAAAGTCAAAGCAGTATGGCCAAGGGATCCCTTACCAATAACTGTAGTCAGGCAGTATTTCGATTATTCACTGCCAGGAGTAAGCTTTGAGATTTGGGCACGGGATATAGTCTTAGTGGCTTTAGGTCTTAGGGTGATGTGCAGGCTAGGCAAACTGTGTAATTTGAAAAGGTCAGATGTTTGGGAGAAAGATGGGAAGTTGTGGGTTAGAGTTGCTAGATCCAAAACAGATCAGTTAGGAAAGAGCAAGTTCATTTCAATTGAACAAACATTGGGTAGATTTTGCCCAGTAAAGCTATTAAATTTATATCTGAGAGTAAGGCCAAGTACATCATTAAACAAACCATTATTCTTGTTCAAAATGGGAGGAAAATTGTCTGTATTAGCTGTATTTGCAATTGTTAAGCGCTTCGCAGAGAATACAGAGTTGCAGAGGAAATTTATAGCATATAGTTTGAGAATTGGGGGCACTAATACGGCCATGAGAGAAGAAATGACAATGGAGCAAATCCAGTCAATTGGTGGTTGGTTTTTAGAAGCAGTGCAGCTTTACATAAGGGCCATGTGCACTGCAGAGATAGGGGCCTCCATGCTAATAGGTTTTGATGAGTGAAGGTGTAAAAATGAGATTAGAAGCTCTTATGAAACCGAATTCTCCTGGCAACGATTCTCTGCAAAGACCTATAATTGATTTTTTCGGTTAATATTTTCTTTGCAACCCCAATGAAAGACAAAATATGCTGCCAAATACGAAAGTATCGGAGCAGCTTTTTTGTCTCAAAGCGATCACGGGGTTTCGTAATTGTCTAACTGATATATTGTTTTGATTTTTTGTATGATTTTCGCTTGATGCATTGTTTGATCATCATATGATTTCATATGTGATCTTTGTCATTATGATGTGATTTTTGCTATTAGTAATCGCTTATAGTATTTAAGAGAAACAGGTTTTTTCCCAGAAAAGATAATTTCTGTTTTTTCTGCTAACCCAACTTTGTCTGGTTTTTTTGTCCTACCTAGCCCAACCTTAATTGAGGCTATTGAAGCAGTAATGATGGCCAGATGAGTTAGCAATTAGGGTTTAGTCTTTGGGTAAGAATTGGCCTATTGAGACGACAGTTATAAACCAGGGTATATAGTTTAAATGGCCTGTCGAGACGACAGTCATGAGGGGTTTTTACATACTTTGCAGTAATGACTCTAGAGTAATTGGTAAGGGGTGGGGTTTTTTCCAGAAAATTCTGGTTTTTTTTGCCTCGCCCTCCAAAGCTGTATATTTAGTATTCTTTAATAACACTTGTAGCAATAGAGCACAGTCATGTCATTCGATACTCTCGAATTCTGTACTATTGTAGCTATAGCACGAAAGCGGAAGGGGCAGATAACCTATAATTGATTTTTTCGTTTGATATTTTCTTTGCAACCTCCCGATGAGAGACAAATTATCAGATGTTTCAGGAATTATGATAATAGCTGTAATCACGCGATTTGCATGATATGTAAGATAGGTGATATTATAAAATTACCACTAGTCAAATTAAAAATCAATAAATTTATAGTCAAAATTAAAAATTAATAAATTTGTAGACTGAATTATAAGTAGATTTTAATTTCGACTATAAATTTGTAGGCTGAATTAAGATGTTGATTTTTAGTTTCATAGATTGGTTGGCTAGTATACACGCATATTGAATACAAAATTGCAATATTTTCAAGGCTTCTTTACAGTACTGGCAAATAATTAGAAAACTTATTACTTAGAAAAATTGCCAAACACTTAGTAAAAATAATAAATCTTTATAAATCTTAAAATTTTAACTTGAATTATACTATATATACAGTATATATATATATATTTTTTGAGGTTTCAACAGGTTTGGCCATGGCTCATCTTTTTTTTTTTTTTTTTTTTTTTTTTTTAATGATTATATCACATTGGGGTATGTATTCAACTATGTAAATCAAAACTATATATAAATGTATATTAAATTTTATATGTGAATTTTTTTAAAAAAAATTAGTGATTGGAATAGTGATTGAGATTATATATCACTTTTATATATATATTTTTTAAAAGTAAAACATGTTTTTAGATGTCTAGAGTGAATTGCTTTACTTTTTTTAATTATTTTAACATAGATCTATTCTTAAACACGTATATAACAAAGTTATATTGAAAGTTTTTTTAACATTAATATTAAATTTCAAAGTTGACTTTTTACAAAAACTCTGCTTTATATTATAAATTATTCAAAGAGAGATATTTTTATTACAAGTAAAAAATTAAATATTAGAACATAAAAATTTTTAACATAACTTTGTTTTAAATGTGTTTAAGAATAGGTTTATACTAAAATAATTGAAAAAAGTAAAGTGATTCATATTAAATATTTAAAAACATGTCCCTATTCTTTACTATTAAAATATATATATAAAGTAATAAATAATTTTTGATTACAAAAAAATTCACATATAAAATTTGATATACATCTATATATAGTTTTGATTTACATAGTTGAATGCATATAGTGTTTGTAGTCGACCATTATTTATTAACTTGACTAAGTCAATATTTAAAAATCAGCTTAGCCGGCTAAGTCAGAGTCAATTATTCGAAGCTCTATTTAATTAAACTTCAGAAGTTATTAGAATTTTTTCAAATTTTTTGTCCAACCTTGCTTGTATTTTATATTTGTTGATTTTTTTTTTATAAATTTTTGGATTCTAGTATAAACTGGCCTAAATTTTTAATATAATGTATATTATCTATTGTAGTTGACTAAGTTGATTTTTTGAAAAATCAGCTAACTAAGCTAGCTAAGCCAATTTTATTAACTAATACAAACTCGACTACAAATACTAAATATACACCCCAATATCACATGCCTTGCTTTATTAATGAGATATATCAATTCTAAAAGATTTCAAAGTTACACATACCTATAGCAAAAAAACTGAAATGTGGTTTATCTAGTTACTATAAGAGCACATATGTGCAACCTGCCAAAATGAGTTTAATCTTCTCGGTTTTGTTTAATCTATATCAAACTGATTTGCTTCAGTTTAACAACCTGGTTTATTAGCCTGCTATAATCACCTTTTCTAACCTTCTTTTTCTAGCCTTCTAGATAGAAGAATTCTACCAAAGAACAGCATGGTGGACATTCGATTTGATTGGCTTGAAGATCCCTGAGTTACACAACATAAAAAAAAATTTTTACAGTAACTTTTACTATATAAAACCACATTGTTAATTGACAACTCGTGGTTTTACATAATAAACTTTTTTTAAGTATACTATAGTATTCTTTAACTCTTCGTATGTCTTCTGTAAAAAAAGATCAGTATAGATCAGTATCCCAAAAAACTTTACTTAGAGGGCAATTTTAGGCAAGTAATATATATATATATATAACGAATAAGATAACTAATGCACCCGAAATGATCTAAAGGGTACTATTTTATTGTAAGTATTTATACTTTTGTTTCGCAAATTTGCTTTGCTAATTTTTTAAATCTATTATTTATAGTTGTATTGTCTCTAAGTTTTGAATATTTTTACGTGTTATGCAAAAACTTACGT